GTGCTATTTTGTACTAATTAGTTAGCTCTATTTCACGGATCGGTTTGCACTCGATCTATAGATAAATAATTACCTAAACGGTAAAACTATAAGTGATTTCGTAATCATTTTCCGCAATTATATAAATTATATTTCCCGCACGTTGTTTGTCTTTTTTTCTTATTAAGATAATTAAAATGTATTTGTTTATGCATTTATAGTACACTCAACAAAATTACTCGACTCTGGTTGGTCGAGAGGAGTACAATTATAGCGTTAATTGTACTCCGTAGCAAACCGAATTAAGTCGCTATGACAACACGGCCAAAACAATGTCAAAACAATTATTTTCTATCATTTTGTACTTAAAAAACATAAATAAAAATTTTTAAATTTTTAAAAAGCCGTAAGAACTAATCTATTTTATGCATTTCAGTTGCGTGATGGAATGAAAATCGGCCGCCAAATAGACAAAGATGAACGGCGTCGCTTCGCATTTTTTACTGAAATTTTGAACTATAAAGAAAAAATTTTAGTGAACTATAAACAAAAAATCGCACGATCGTCTCGTACAATTTGGAATCAATAGACACGAGTAATGTTTTGAAAGTTCTTTAATTGCACTCGCCTAAAGGCTCTTGCAATTACAAGAACTTTCAAAACATTACTCGTGTCTATTAATTTCCAAATTGTACTCGAGATCGTGCGATTTCCTATACATATACTTACAAATAAATAATATTTGAAAGCGAGGCGTGTTCAGCTTGAATCACTTCAAATTGTATTGTTCAAATTGTATTACTTCAAGTACATGGCCAGTGCAAACCATATAGGATTGATAACCAGCTATGACCTTTATTCGTAACATATCGTTTTCGTATCGATTCCTTACACAGAGGTTTTACTGTTGCCTAGCTTCAAAATCACAGTTCAAAAAATGTCCCATTTGTGAGTCCCGTTTACAAACCTTGTTGAATTGGATCGATGGCAAAGTTTAAATAATAATGATTTTGAGAAATAGAATCAGTAATCCTGAAAAATCGGATTTCTAAAACTTATTATATTTCTACCACTAGAAATTAAACTATACATACAAATGTTTATGTTCTTTTGTGTTCTTTTTCATATAGAAATTAGCATTTGCATTAGAAATAATAAAATCATTATTATTAGAATTATATTTCCGTCTTTAAGCGATCAGTCTTTGAAGTCTGAGTACCGTTCCATGATGGCGTCGTATGGCTACAGTTACCACAATTCTTCTCGAATTTTCTTTCTTATTCAAATTTATTGCCTAACGAGAATAGCTTAAGGTAATAAAGCTTAAGGTAATATAGCTTAGGGTAATAGCTTTTTTCCAACAATGTTTTTAAAATTTGGCACAAACCTTAATTGTGAGTTCTAGTATGAAAATACGAAATAAAAAATGGGAGTCCCGGAATTCGTTGAGAAGATACACCTACTTGCAAGAAGGTTGTCATACAAGAATAGAACATTTGTGATTTAGCAAATTAGTGATTTAGTAAAATTATCGATTAGGAATAAATTATCACTGACCTCAGACTCGGGTCACCCAATCAGATCATGCTTACAGATCAGAAACGCCAGGCAGCGCTAGAATTCGTAGTTTTAGTTGCGTTTTCCCCGCCTAAAGGGAAATTCTTTTAGTATTGTTATTATGTCAACCTATCTATTTACTGCATGATAGCCATAATGATATACGAGCAGAAACGTACAAAAACAAATAATACTAATTTTATTTTTCATTTATTCATTTTTGTTTTAACTTTGAAATGACATCTTCATCTGCATGCCGGTTACATCGTGTCGCTTCAAAATTATCTTTTTCTTACTTATGAATTCGAATCAAAAATTCAGATTTCTAAACTTTAAATTCAAGGAATTAAATTACACTCTAATGTTCTTGTTGCTATTCTTTCGTATTCTCCTGTCTTCGCCGCCTTGATGCAATCGCATAGTTCTTTATAACATTTGCTGCAGGATAGAATACAGTATCGTTATAATGCACGTAGTCCAGTGTACCTTGGTGGAATGCCGTACTGAGGGGATACACGTCCAATACCTTTATATCTGCCTTACACATGGCGCTCATGGAGAACGTATGGAACAGTTGATTCCTCTGTTAGAGTAAAGAAAGCAAGAAACATATTTGTCAGACGTCATTTATATTAAACATTAAATTAGGTTTGTTTATATTAACCAATATTGGCTGAGCCACATATGCATGTATGTTGGGTTTGTTTGATGTGTTGTTGTCTCCTCCTTGCCACGAGGGTTTTTCTCCAGGTTGTCTGGTTTTCCTCCCTCCACAAAATCAACATGTCAGWTGAGTTTGTTTGATGTGTTGTTTTTCTCCCCTTACACGAGGGTTTTTCTCCAGGTTCTCTGGTTTTCCTCCCTCACGCTGTCAATCTGGTTACCTTACCAGTGGTCTCGTGTAAAGGGCAATCGCGTTGCCTGGGAATGAGAATAATACGACATACAGTTCTTGTGTAAACACTTCTGTCGGTGAGCGTATCATTTGCGATCAGGTTTCATGCTCATGAAATGTTTTATTCTGAAACCGTGTCAGTGTAAACGGGGTCTTAATTGAAATTTGGAAAAGGGACTAACGTACGAGCGAGTGTCTATCTAATGCGTTTACCACTCCTGGGTTGGCGGCTTTGAAATGCCAAACAGGTTTTGCAACCCAATTAGAATTTAGAAGTTGTCTTTTGTGGAGGGAGTAAAAACTGGAGAAACCGTAGTAAAACTCTTGAAGCACAGGAGCGAACCAACAAGCAACTGTACCCACAAACGACACCGAGACCGGCGTCTTGAACCCAGGTCTCCTTAGTGAGAGGCCGCGCATTAGCAGCGCACGCCACCCGTGCTTCCTTAAAATCTATCTCACCTGTGTAGTCAGAAATCTAAACATGGTGTAGTTCAGAGGCTTAGCGGGCCATGGAATACGAGTAATCTTATGTTTTTCTATAGCTGTCGTACTTTTCCATACAGCAGTCCCTTGAAAGGCTTTTCTTCCGTTCTTCTTTTCATTCAGTAATAATATAACGGATTCTATCAAATCTTGATACGAAGAAAAGCTCAAGGAGATTGGAAAATGAACACCAAGGCTGAACACGAAGATGCTATCAGGTTGATTGATGTCTTGGTTTTCAAGTAGTTGTCTGATCTTGTTTATGACGACAGTTTTGTTGAATTCAGTTCTTACTTTCAGAGGATGACGCTTGTCTTTTACCTGAAAAGGTTAAAAAATATAAATACACAAATGAATCATGCAAAAGAAAGAGGAAGAAAAAACCTTCATATTTTATCAATACTATACACTGAAACATCCGCTGGGAGAATCAAAGTATGGCACTGCTAACTCACTGATAGAACCCTGAAACACACCTCTGGTTGTTCTAAGTCAGAGCATGGCTAACTCATATATTGAGCGGCCCTCAAGCAGCATCTGGGTTGATTAAAGTCAAGGCAAGGCTAACTCACAGATGGAATTAAAATTTAACTATAGGCTTCTTTGAAAAGAGAGAGAGAGAGAGAGGGAAAAAAAAAAAAAAAAAAGAGAGAAAGAAAGAAAGAAGTATACGAATTTTTGGGCAAGGTTGCATGCTTTATAGTAGCTTGATAAATAAGACTTTCCATACTTTATCTTTAACCAGTTAAACAATACAAGCAATCAACTATAGTAAGACAAAACTAAAACAAGTAGTAAAAGAAGGTATATTTTAGATAATGAAATGATAAACAGTTTATTTACCTCGTATATCCAATTATAGGTATAACCACATCTATCAAAAATACTTGTGCACAGCGGATGCTCTTTCATGGAATCAATAAAGCGCATGCCCAGTGAGTCCCCATAAACCCACAGTGTACCAGACCTCTTTGTTTGAGCTTGGTGGTTAGAAGGAGGTTTCGATGCAACTGTAAAAAGAGAATTTGCTTTATCATATGAACATTAGTGTTTTACTGGAAAATACGTCACTCGTATTTTTCGTACGAACTACATCCGGGACCTCAGTGACATATTTTCCATATCCTCACTAGTGAAGATATCGATAACGTCTTTTCCAATGCTTTCAAAAAGTTTTTGTTTGATGTGTCTATATTATAAAACGAAAATTACACGTTTGCTTGAAGATATGAAGTTTATTTTTGCGTGTTAAGAAAGTATTTCACCAATCAAAGATAAATTTCATATTATCTTCGCACCAACCGTGTTATACCCTCTATCAAGACATAGAGGATATTACATGAGCGCGCGGAGATACGAAATTTATCTTCGAGTGTTAAAAAGATCTCTCACGAGTGAGCGCAGCGAAAGAGTGAGAGATTTTCAACACGAGAAGATAAATTTCGTATCTCCAAGCGCCCATGTAATATTCTGTTTATTATATAATTATCCATAAAATCAACTTAATAAGCTTTTTATCATTATACAAAGTTTTTATTTATAAACTAATAGCATGGTAACGATATTTTCACATGTGAAAATAACATGTTATTTTCACATGTGAAAATATCAGTTTTTCGAAAAGGAGAAAAATAGGTATTTTATGGATAATTATATGATAAAATATGATATTTTTTTAAGTCGCTAGCTATTTAGCTTCAATTTCCAAATTCGCGATCTCGATTTGTTTCTATTACTATCTGATAATGTTCAGCTGCCTCAAGTGTATTTTATGTAGCACTTAAAGTGACATAATTAAATAAAGGGCATCCAACTTTACAATCATTAAAATATCATCATCATTTTATTATTTATGAAGTATTCTTCCTGTATATATAATTTCAAATTATATACCGAGACACAGAATAACGATAATCTCCTTCATAGTTCCCTGCACCATCTCGAAAGGTAGCCGTACCTTTTATTTATGATTCGCCCAAGGGCAGGTGATAATACAATAGGACTCTAGGGCCCCTATATAGTTTCGAAGCGTGACGAACGGTGAGCTTGCAATGATAGAGACTTTTTTTAACACATTGGACAATTATTCAGATCACTTGCCTCTATCATTGCAAGCTCATCTTTCGTCTCGCTTAGACTGTGACGTGGACTATTATTGTGGAAAATTAATTTCACTGATCTTTCTACTGCAATGGTTGACTCACCATGTTTTGATTCGTAAAGGAACCATTCATTCTCCTTCCAATATCCATAACCATCCCATAACAACGAACATTTGGTATAGCATCCTTGGTCGTCTAGAGCTTTTTTTGATGACGAGGAAGCATCTCCTTCGAAAAACATAAAAATTATACACCAAAATAAGATTCTGTATCGTAAACGAAATTTATTTAAAAAATAACAACAAATAAAGAACAACAACAACAAAAAAGCTAACTAAATAAGATAAAAGCAAGAAAGAAAAAAGAAAGAAAAAAGAAAGATAAAAGAATCGAAAAACAAATGAAGTCAATTAATGAAGAACAAAGAAAAGGAAGGATAAAACTGTAGAGAACGTCAGACGTTTAATTTTGAAATTAAATATTTAAAAATACATATTACAAAAACAAACAACAGAAGTCCATGAAACAGTGGTAATAAGTACCAACTAAGTTTCGTTAAACCTCAAGGTTTCAAGATTGAATTACTGGTTAAGTAAATTGAAGAAGAGATCAAGAAAATGAGACATATTTGCCTATGTCATATCATATAATTTAAAGGTTACTATTTAAGTAGTTTTGTCGAACGTTTTCGAACCGTTAACAGTTTATCACTTAGCATAGTTGACTTGCATTTATGAGAATTTAGTTTAGTCCTTAAGATAAACTCCGAACGACAAAACTACTTAAATAGTAACCTTCAAATTAAATGATAAATCAAGGAAAGACAATAACAGAAAACCACTAAAAGGTAATAAAGCAACAAGAGTAAAAAGTTCAGGAAATAATAACCTGAAAAAGATCGAAGTGTTCACGATTCGCCGAGTGTGCTCTCTCTAGCGATTACAGTTTAAAGTGCATATGACATGAAAACATTTTAATGTTAAAAATGTGTAGTTTATTGGCATGAATAAGAATATCACAGTTAAATTTGTTTCAAAAACGTATTTCTCTAGAAATTCAAGAAAATTTAGCACAAGTTGTGACGTCATTTTGTTTACAAGTCTCCAGATCTAGTTGCAAATGCACGAAATAAGTTTGAATGTAGAATCTTAATTTCAGGTAGTACACTTTTCAGTTTCCCAACATTGGAAAAGTTCTACGTAAGCTATCAAATGAAGCTGAATAGAATATGCCTTTTGTTGTTATTTTATATGAATTACGATTTATATTTAATACATTACTACCGAATCTAGAGTACGTTTCAACAAAATGACGTCACAAATTGGGCTTAATTGTTTTTACATATCTCAAGAATTAAGCTTTAGAAACAAATTTTATTACAATATATTTATTATTATTATTAACAAACTATACATTTTAAACCATGAAATGATTTCGTGTCATATACACTTTAAATGGCAACAGCTAGTACTTCTAGATCTCTTGGTTACACACACTTCTACCAGATTTAACACTAGGTTTTGTCTAATGACTGGAAGGTGGCCTACCATGTATTGTAAAATTGAAGCTGTTTAAAAGACGGTTTATATGGTCGTGTTCAATATTGCCCAGAATGCCTTCTTTTGGATCAAGGTATGTTCCATAGTCTGTTCCTTCAAAATTAAAAAGAATTAAACAAAATACTTTATATATATAAAAATATATAAATGTATAAATACAATAGCTGTAATCCCCCATTACAAGTGCTTATCGAAAAAATATATATATGAAAAAATAATAAACAAACAAATAAATAAATAAACGAAAGAATCATTATCTAGTTCAAAACATTAAAAATACAAGCTGAGACAAGCTGAAAATTCTTTTGCTAAATTTAACCAAGATGGCGGCTACGACGTCATCAGTTGCCAACGAAGAATACGTACACTTACCATTAATAAACCAACCAGTCGGTGGTTCCCTTAAGCCATCACATAAGGTATAGTCAAGATAGATATTCGCCGAGTAGTTGCCAGGCTCTGTAATAAGCATAACTACCTCATACAAGCCATTATCATGATCAATAACAATTGGAGCAATTGATTGTGGTCCTTGTCTAACGTAGATTCTCCATGAATCTCCTCCGAATGTTTTAATGTGGCCTTTCTTGCTTACTGACTGGATCCACAATTTACTGAACTTGCCTATCAATATATATATAGAAAAATAATAATAAAAAATGGTGAAAAAAAAAAAAAGTTCCATGAGCTTAAAAAACTTTCTTAAAAGCCTATCGTTAATGCATTGCCTCCTGCCTTACTTCTTACTGAATAGATCATAATATTATTGATTTATATTAATTTATATTGGCTAAAATTTAGGTCTAAAATTCAAATCGAGAAGAAAATCATGAATAATTACTCGAAATAAAATATACAAAGGGTTGTTGAAAAAGACTATCAAAATATACGCATTCTAAGATGAATTAATCAAGTCAACTTTAAAATGTTCTATACATGAATATAATAGGTGGTTGGTGTTCTTAAAGAGAACGAGAGTCTTGACCACTGACTTATAAGTACTGATTATGATACGAAAGCAGTTTCTGATTCGCTGAGGTAAACTGTTCTACAGCTTTGGTGATGCAAAACTGAAAGATCAGGGCCGTAGCCACATTCATAACTATTTTTCCCTTCGTAGAAATAGTACGCAAGTAAGAAAAAGCCTGACCACTTTTTAAAACCAGACCACACTGTCCAAATGGTAGCTAAGGCCCTTTTGATTAACATAAGATCCATTACCTGCATTTTGAAGATCCCATTTCTTGATGTAACTCTTGTCTGGATCAGTCCTATACCACGAATTGACTTCTCTTTTCTCCCATGCCATTTTACCTTCACAAGAACCGATCATTCCTTTCCAATTTACTCTCCATTTCTGCAACCTGCACCATTCATGGTTTTTCTTATTCTTTATCGAGATTAAATCCCGATATTGGACAACTGAACTAAAAGCTACTTTTGTCGAAAGTCTTAAATAACAAGTATTACAAATCATGTTACACGTAAAAATAAATACTAAAACCAAAGCTATCTGTAAAATAAAGAATAATAGTATACAATTTTTAAACCTTATGAAGTATTTGTAAATTAGTAGTATGTTTTTTGGAGTTTCCATTATATCAATCTAAAATTATTTATGTATGTTAAATATAGGCTTTCTCAGTAATCTTCAAAAGCTAACTAAAATCATTTCATTTCCTTGTCTGTTTTCTCTCCTGAACGGTCGGCTTTTATTCCATTTCTATTCCTAAAAAAA